AAATTGTAACTACAAGCAAAACGCTGATAAGATTACGCCTTGAGCTTACGGTTGTTAAATTTGGTAATTAAGAAATAAGCAATAAATGAGTCGATACACCTTTTACTGAATTAGGAGTTTTTGAGAGGAAAATTGTCGCAAGTGAAGAACTATATGCTATTTTCATCAGCTGTTGTTTAGTTTCACGTTGCGTTCGACTGTATGTTTTTATCTGATTGGCTTTCAATTTTCTCCATGCAATTTTCTTTTTGATGCCATATAGGTCTCTTGAAATATTTCTTTTTGCTCTCAAGAACGAGAAACGGTACTTCGTGGTGGCTGATTTTATTCAGAAACCCAGTAAATATTTTTACCCGTGCTACATATAAACAAAGAAAGGAGTGGACGGTTCTGCGATATGCTCATTTGCTGGTAAATCTTGATAACCTAGAAGACTTACAACAACCTACCTCGAATTACCCATTACCAAAGCAAAACTAGGAGTTAAGAAGGGCTTGGTCAGCATTGCTTTCTCGCCTCTTAGTTTTGTGGTAAAGGATAGTTTAGAAAGTAAGACCCTAACATACTCAAATGAATCTAACTGTCTCCTGAATTTTGAAATTTTTCCAATATTGCATTATACTTAAAGAATTTGATTGTTGCTTGAAAAACCTCAAAACATCTTTGCGTACCGATAGTTTAAAGTATGTATCTAAGGTAAACTTACTTAGGAAATAAATGGCTGCTACCGCAAAAGTTGCAGACCAGCAAAGCAGTAGCTTGATCTGAAAAGAAATTACATTTCGGCGCAATAAAAAATTTTGCAAGCTTTATATTTCCAATATTGATAGACTGAGTTAAAGGTAATTAGGCTTTACATTTCTGTATTTTTACTAGGTTTGATATTAAAGAAGCTAAAGATTACCAAAGTGTTGCGAAGAGTGCAGATTTTATTATAGAGGTGTATAGAAAATGAGGCGATAAGGCGATTCACTGAGGCTAGAACCTGAAAATTAGTAAAATTTACGATTTTTGTTGTTCTTCAGCATTATATACGAGATAATTCTCACAACATTCACCTGCGTAAGAACACCGCCTAAGTAGATCATTCCTCCAATAAAATTTCCTAAGAGCCCTTGAACAACAGGCGATAGGTAATAGGAATGGCTGAAAAAGGTATATCAAGAGCTGTATAGGATCCCGCTTCTTCGAATATCTAATAGACTTACAGAAAAGCCGTTGGGGTGCACCAAACAAGGAAGACAATGCAGATAATCAAGTTGAAAAGAGCTTTTGATGCACATAAGGTCAAAAATGAGGTTCGAGATTGGCGTCGGCTCAGCACATTTAAGAAGACGTAGGCATTCGCCGCAACTCCGAATGGTGAGACCTGGAATACGGTAGCGATCATTCTATCAGTGTTCCTGAAACTCTACACCATTTTGAAAACATATTTTACTTATTTACCATAAGCATCACAAGTCCAGCAAATGCGTGTATATTAACATCTCCTACGTCTGTATCGTTCATTCCTAAAAAGAATATAATTACAATGATAATTTATTTTGAGCGTCCAAAATCAAAAGGTATAGTCTTGCAACCCAGTAAAGTGTGTGCTGATCATTTATACCTATGCAATGATTAGCTTCCCTATTTATGCCCTCTTTTCAAAGAAGTCACGAGTGTTTCACTTCAAAAGTTTGTATATGCAGCTAATGAGTGTAGATTCTTGAACTACGGGGGATATCGGATATCAGTGATCCAAACCAAGGTTCTTCCAGGGTTTTGGTGTTTTAGCTGATTAATGAAGGAAGGGTAATATTTTAGCCACTACATATGTTTAGTAGAAAAGCGCACCTGTAGTGCAAACCCTGGAAACATTTTTTTCGCGAAATTCTTTGCTTTCGCTTTCAATTTTTATTCAAATCTAGAATTGTTCAACTCTAAAATCATAGCATTAATT